ACTAAATAGCTGATTCCAGCATACTCATAAGAATAAATCAGTTAAAGCTCATGAAATCATGGAAGAAAATTCGGTTATCATTCAGGATGAATATCATTATTTAGACAAATATTTGTCCATGGTAATATGATGTCAACACTAATCAGTTTATGCTAAGCCAATGACTGCAAGTAACCGAATCTCTTTTTATATAAAAGCTTTAGAAACAACTCATCATCATTTAACCATTTTAATAGAGATAAATCTAATGAACATATTATATCTCATCTATCGCTATGACCAGTGGGGCATGAGGCAATATCATACAGGCCATAGAAACAACAATAGATTCGACGACCCTAACTTATTACTAATATCAGTGGGGCATGAGGCAGAATCATGCATGCCATAATACAAAAATAAGATCATGGGGCTAACATATCTTTCAACCTACCCTTACTTCAACGGTCTCGTGGCGCGAACTGTATATGTGAAAGCACTCGATATCGGCTAAAACAGCCGATTCAGGCATAGCATAATTAAGGTCATGCCCTGTCAGGAACAGATCTACCAAACAACGTTCCCTGCTCCATGGTGCTAACAATGGGGTGTGAGGCAGAATCACATAGACCATGATAACGGGCCATGGATCGGTTTTTGTTAGCCGATAGATCTATTCAAGACCCGGCATGCCTTAACCGCACACTATGCACGATCAAGATTGACATATAACAGCCGATAAAACATAACTCATTGTTTATGGTGCAGATTAGATCAGTTTAGATTAATAAACGATGGGTTAAACAGGATATAAGGCCAATCTAGATCAATCCCAATCGGGCAAAGTGATATTGCTGTAATTAAATAAATAATGAAAGCAATAAGCAATATCGGTAACTTAATGAATCTACTTGAAGCACGCCACCCTTAGATAGAGCCGATAACTTGACCTTAATCTAGTTCGAGTAGTGGAGGTTGACCAGATCGATGCAGCCATACTTGAACTAGACAAGAGTCAATAACTAGCTTATACCAGAGTCGCAGTGGAGGTCGACCGGATCAATGCAACACGGGCGCTTGGATCCATCTTTCTAGGCCGACTATAAATTGTCTATCCGACTTTGGTGAGGGCAATTCAACAATTCAGCTATGTTTCTCTTCTATCTGCTTCCTCGAGTACCTCTGACTCCGCCGGACTCTCCATGGTCTATCTTTTTGCTATGAAGATCTTGAGTGGTTAGAAGAATTCTTATGCATAGGGTGATTGTGTCGCTCATCTTAGCGCCTTGTCGAGCAAGAGGATCAGCTACTGTGGTTAGAAGAATTCTTGTGATATCACCTGAGTCTTCTCTCCATGCTCGTAGAGCTGTTCTAGTGTTTGCAAGGGCTAAAATGTGTGGACACCTTTCCCTTGTCCGCTCCATCAAACGCCCATCGGGAAAGCCACAAACTTCTTTCCCACAGTTTCCCGATCATCGAGAAATCAGCTGGGCATCTGTTAAGCAGGTGGCCTTTCCCCTTCTCCTGGCATAATTTCATCAACGGGCCGATGTGACTTGGTTCATGATGACCTTCGGCCTTGTGGGGATCTAGACTCCCTTCAATCCAAAGAATCCTTGGTGGGTTGATCACCGGTCAACGTAAACCTTTCGTAACCATCCCACGATATTTTGTGATTATGGGAAGCAATAAGTCTGAATCTGTTATCTCTTCATTATCCGTCCCCTGAATTGCCGGGGTGCTGATCCGTTTCTGTATTTGACTTCAATTCCATAACCCCAATGAAATCTATCTTTTCACCTTCCCGGGCTATATATACGGGCCACGGCTGTGGATCGAAAAACAATCTGCTCTGTCTCAAACCTTTCGTGTCCTTAGTGCGGTTTCTGCTTTCCCATAGGTTTGAGATCATGGAGAACAGCAAGAGGTTTGCTGAGGAGGCCCTCAATGGATCTGCGTCATTACGCCAGCGCTTTCGTCGTCAGGAGGGTGCAACTCGGGATGCCCCTACCATCCCGAAGCATCGGGCCGACTCTGCTCAGCCTTTAGGGTCATCTTCAGCACCGATTCGTCACCAGCTCCCCTACTATCTGAGGAGGTGGATCGACAATGACGATCTGCTTGCCTCCATCGATCGGACTGATCAGAATCTAGCCAACTGTCTCTCCCTCACAGAGTCGGCTCTGGCCATGATTCAAGGCCGATCACCCTCCGAGGCCGATCTGGTGGGGGAAAGGTTGGCCAGGGCTGAAGCCAGAATCATAGGTGAGACGTCTACCACAATTTCTTTTTGCCTTTTCTTAACTTTTGCCTTCGAGATTTCTGATCATCCCTTCCTTGAATCTTTTAGATCTAACTGCTCAGTTGGAAAGCCTTCGATTAGATGCGGAGCACGCAGACGAGATTTGTCAACGCCAGGGGTGCTGTGTCGGTCGTCCGCTTGCACGACATTCCAAATCGTGTCAGAGAGGTCGCTCTCCATAGCGTTCGTCATGGTGCCGCTATGGCTTTGGCTGTTGCGCAAGTCCACTCTAGCCACAATCTTTGGCTTCTTCCCCATGGCTTTCCAGTCATGGCACACTCTAGAGATCATGAGCGCTTAGCTGAGGATTTCTTCAACGCTGCCAACTCCGTAGCTCTTACTACCCAGGCCGATGATATAGTAACCAAAGTGTTTTCCGGTCTGTAGCTTGTAATTGGTGACATTAGCAAACAATCTCTTCGTCTTGAGTGATTTTTTCTTTTGCCTCGTACTTCACATGCATCAATCGATCCGTGTTTGCTTTTGCTCTTTATAGGCGATACATATTGTACCGGCTTTTACTCTCTCGAGCTTATTTTTTGAACTTGAGGCGATACGCTTCCGGTATCGGCTATTAGAGCCGACGATCAAACAAATCAGTTGTTAAGTATTAATCCAAACGCTAGGATAAGATTTCTTTAGATATTTTCCATTGATTGCTCTGTCAAACTCTTCTTCTCCCTCTAGTGTTTCCAAAATATAAGCATTGCTAGGCGCGCAACGTTTAATCCGATAAGGTCCTTCCCAATTAGGTGACCATTTGCCGAACTTGCTGTCTTTTGACCCTATCAGCAATTTTACTTTCCAGACTAAATCTCCTTCAGAGAATTGCTTGCTCTTGACCTTTTTATTGTAATACTTTGCAATCCTTAGTTTATTGGCTTCAATATTCTCAAGAGCACGCAGCCGATGGCAACTTAAGTCCTTAGTAAAGATTGGCGGTTGAAAATATGAGTTAAGGACCGCACGTAGCTGGCCAGTTTGAGCGGCCCATTCTAGCCCACAGCGCCCATAAACAGCGACGATCGTCTCTTTTCACTTCTACCATCATCTATCCCCATCGTCGCAGATGCACTCTGCCTCTGTCCTCGCCGTCACGGTGGTCTGACCCACACCATCCGCCTCCCTCCCCTCGTTGCGGCACAGAGGCGTGGCCCTCCCGGTGGCTACAGCCCATAGCCGACGCATCAGGTGCGCTCCCATCTAGGTTGTCACACACGCGGCTGCTGCTCGTCATCTGCCGCAGGAACTGCCACGCTTAGGCCATGCTCGCTGGTGAGATGTCGACTCTCCCCTCCATCGCAGACAAGGTGGAGCCCCTTTGGCGCACGAGCTCTGGCTATGGAGATCGACTTGAGAGGCACAGCCCCCTCTAGCTGTTGTTCAGCGGCACCCATCTTAGAGTATTAGCACTTTATGTTTTTTTATAGGAGCACTTTATGTTTGTAATCCACAGCTGTGTAAGGATTGTTTCTGTATTGGAAGCATATAGGAAAAAATAGCAATTTTGTGTAGGAAATTTGTGCAGGAACTAGCAATTTTGCGCAAATATCTAGTTTGCTCGAAGTGAGTTTTATATGAGAAAGTGTAGTTGATTTCAGTTCAGTAACTGTAATGGAACTGTAGTTAATGGTGTTTAACTCTTCTAGTTGCATGAGTTATAGTTCAATCTTCTATGTCTTATAAATTAATGCATGAGTTGATGATGAAGTTACATACGTTGGTACAAGTGTTGTTGGACAATTAACCAGTGAGAGTTGTGACCTTCCCGCCCTCGTTGAGCAAGAATCAGGGCCTCCAACATGACCTAATTTGTTGCACACAGTGGCTCCATTGGACTTGCCCATGGAGAGTGACACATCTTTTGAAGATATTGTTTTGGTCGAAGATGCATCCGATGAGGAAGAAGCTGAGATTGGTATGGGTGTGACATTTGAGGACCCTATTGATATCATCATCCCTTTGAATGGATCCTCTCAGTCTATTGATGAGACCAAGGCAAAAGAGCCCAACCTGCCAAATAATCCTTTGTTGGAGGGGCCACCCAACTGGACGTCGACATGAAGATTGAGGATTGTGCTGGTCCCCCGATACATCACCCACCACTGGTGACACCACCGATGAGACGCCGACGCAAGTCTTATGACAAATCAATGGTTCGCCAAAGCACCCGTCTTGCCAAGCATAAAGTTCTAAAAGACTTGGGGATTGTTAGGAATGACGGGAAGCTCAATGAAGATGCAATTCAAGAATATGCAGAGTGCGTGAAAGAACTATTGCCACTAGATCTCCTTGAGTCACTCATGCGTACAAAAGGTCGTGCTTTTCGGAATCTTGTCGCAGGGATCTCTTTGCCTCTTCGCTTGGCTTTGTTGTGGTGTTGTCAATTTAGTTGTTGCCTTGTTGTTTACCTTGGTAGTTGCTTTCTTTGTTGTTGGTTTCGTCATGGTTGACTTGTTGTCTTAGGATTGTTGTTGTTACGTTGTTGCTTTGTTGTATCACCGATCTGGGCTTTTTTTTTTAATATAATCAGCAGGTCCCCTGCTTGATTCGTATAAAAAACATATGTTGGTACACGGTGTGAGGGCACTCACAATATAGACTCTATCATAATTTCTATAGCTACTGCCTCTCTGTTTATTGATTTTTGATGATACGACACCATATTTACTGAAGAAAGAATGAGAAGGAAAACACAGTAAACCGAGGCTCGACCTCTTCACGCGCAACGAGGCCGTCGAAACCATCCAATACAGCGTTGGGGGAGGAGCGCTCGGTTTCCATCTGCGATTGTGGATCCTGTGCGCGCCGCCGGTGAAGCACCGCTCCCGCGGCTGCCGCCGTCACGGACCTCGCGCGGCCACCGGCAGGATCTGGCGCCCCGCTGTCGCGGACCCTCGCGCGGCTGCCTCGCACACGCGGCCGCCGACGGGAGCTCGCGCGCGGCCACCGCGGAGCCAGCTCGCTCGCGTTGCCACCGACGAGATCTCGCGCGCCGCTGCCATGGAGTCTCGTGCGGCCATCGACGTGCCCGCTCGGTGGCGCGGCGGCCATCGACGTCATCATCTGGGAGGCGTGCGCCTTCGCTGCCTTGGCCGCGGTGCTCATCGCCGGCGTCACCTGGTGCCTGAGCGTCGCGGCCGCGGTTCGTGCTGCCGGCGGCACGGCGTTTCCCACCGCCGCGCCAGCAGGCAGAGCCAGCGGAGTGTGCGGGCTTGCCGAAATAGACATCAGCGCGCTGCCCAAGTCCCCGTACCAGCACCGCCTCGGCCATCGACGTGCACCCCGCGTGCCGCCCCGCGGCGCTTGCGCGGCCACGCCTCGTCGAGGAGCTTGCGCCTCGCGTGGCCTTCCCCTGCTACTACGAAGAGTTCACGTCGTCGAGTATGCGGCGGGGTCCTAGGCTGAGGTCCTCACGGACGAGCAGCAAGCAGATAAAGATTTAAAGAAGGCTTCAGCCACTCGGGCACTCGGCCACAGGCTTACTTGCCCGCACAGGATCTGAAGAATTGGGGAAAGATGATTGGTTTGATTTTTTTTTTTATGAACCCTGTAACCAAATATGCATTGGCGAGTATAGTTTCTACCGGCAGTGTCTCGTGGCCCAGTCTGGACCACGCAAGGCTGCTGACACTGCCCCGGCAGCTGCTCTTCGGTGAACCACTCTCGGTCTACTGGATCGCACCGCGATGGCGACTGAGTTTTTTTTTTATTTTCTTTTGCAAAAAGTATTTGTTGATATATCAAAAAAATTGTAAAACTGCACTACTGCCGCAGATTGAACCTGTGGGAAGTAATTACCGCTGGTTCAATTGGCGAAATTTTCTTATTTTTATATTATTAGCTCATCTTTAAAAATATCATAACTTTTATACATGAACTTACGTGCACTACCGGAAACAGCAGATTTACCAAGTGCAAACATATTTGCCGAGTGCATTCTATCGGGCACTCGACAAACAAGTTTTTTTGCCGTGAAGATAAAATGTACTCCATCCGTTTTAAATTATAAGTCACTTTACTTTTTTTTTGATACATCCATTTTGCTATGCATCTAGATATAATAATATGTCTAGATACATAATAAAATGGACGAAACAAAGAAGTAAAAAATGACTTATAATTTAGAACGGAGGGAGTATATATAAAACTTCTCGAAAAAAGAGGTATATTTTGGAAGCCCGCGCGGATTCGCCGCCTCCACCGCGTCTCCCGCCTGAACTCGCGCCTCTCGCCGCGGCCGCGCTCCATCCACCTGTCACGGCCACTGCCGAGGTTCTTGCTGCCGATGAGCTGAGCGCGGGTGACCTCCGTGCCACTTCGTGGGATCGAGCTCTGCGCCAACATCGAGCTCCCCGGCAACTAGCCTCCATTTGTCCGAGTAGCAAGTAGATGAGCATATATTGGAACCGTATGTTTCATGTGTTTCAGATATATGTTGCATATGTTTCATCTGAATGTTGCTGTGTTTCATCTGGATGTTGTAAAAGTAGATCTAGTGTTGCATATGTTGCAATGGCTATACATGTATGTTGCATATGTATGTTCCAAATGTTTCATTTGTTTCAGACATATGTTGCAAGTATTTATTATTTGGATGTTACACATATATTGCAAGCGTATGTTCCAAATGGTTCATCTGTTTCAGACGTATGTTGCGGCAAGTGCTTCATGTTGCAAGTGTTTCATGGGCAGGCGCGAGAAGCGGACACAGGTTGAGGCAGTCCCCACAGGCGCAGGCAGTCCCCACGTGCGCATGGGAAGCGAAGCGGGCACGAGCTGCCCCCGCGTGCATGCGCACGGGAAATGGAGCGGTGCGGGCGGGCGGGCTGGCAAGCGCAGTAGGCGCGGGCAAGCACAACAGGCGGGCAGGCGCGCAGCACTGCAGCAAATGCGGGCGTCCATCCGGACGCTAGCCATGCCATTAGCGCTAGGTCACATAAATTTTGTTTACTAGTATAGTGAACCCTCTATATGGAAAATTGAATATTTTTTTTCCTAGATTTCTGAGATTTCATATTTATTTCTAGGGTTTGAAATTTTCGAAGTTTTGTAATAGGAGGCTCCTATAACAAACGCCCGTAGCACAAAAACTCACAAACATAACATTAACTTGAGCCGGCCAGTGTCTGGCACTAATCTTATCTCATGATTTATATCTGTAAATTAAATTTAACCCTACAGAGTAGTCTAACTTTCAGATAGTATTGAGAGTTTGAGACCCATTTTAATTTGTTGCTGTTGAATGATCACGTGCTCGACATTATTTGAACGCCATATACATGGTTGACGCAACTTAACAAATACAGCAGGACATGGTCGTTGTCAAAACTACATGACAGAAGCGATCTAGAACGGTCCTGTTATGGGTGTTTTATGATCATAGTAGCCCACCGTATCAGGCCCTGGCGCGGTAGGACCCTCCGCCTCCACCTCTTCTTCCGGGACTTCGAAGGTGATCTCCGTCGTGGGCGAAGAGGCGACGGCCGCCGGTAGGTTCACGTGCTCCACGGTCTCCAGGGTGCGAGCGCCGTGCGCTGGCGGGATGGACGCCACGGCCACGGCGATCAGGAGGACAACCATGAAGGTGGCGAGCTTGGCCATTGTTTCTCCAAATCAGTGATGGTGTTTGGAGTTGCTTGGCGTAGAATTGTGTTGGAGCTTGAGTCATGGGTGTGGGTTTTATATAAGAAAAGTGTAGTTGATTCCAGCTCAGTGTCTGTAACTGAGCTATATAGTTAATGGTGTTTAATTTAATTCTAGTGGCATGAGTTCTATAATTCAATATTGCATGTCTCATAAATTAATACATGAGTTTTTTTTATAGAAATTAATACATGAGTTGATGAAGTTACGTGCATTAGTATGGTGTTACTTACATATATATTTTTATTATTATTACTAGCGACTATGTTGGTACGTTGCAGCAGTAGGAAAAAATGTTATCAAACCTTAATAAAAACGACCATAGGAATTGTTATATACTCCCTCCATTCTGAAATAAGTGATGTCTTAAGTTTATCCTAGACACATCTTTAAAACTAGCTAGAGGGCTAAATTTATCCTACTTCTGTAGTTTAATGGTTAAAGATATTCTCTCTTTTTTTAAAAAAAACTTGGATGACTAAATCTTACTCCGGTGATATTCCGTGCTCAAAATTGGACCTTAAGAGATATGGAGTCACACCTAATCGTGACAGTGATGACTCGCATATATTAAGTGAACAATCAACGCAATGCTCTGCATGCTTAAGGATATCATAATGCCGTTGGGACTTAATAATGTCTTTGTCGCCCGGAAAGAGCATCTGTTTGGTCCAATATTCGTTGCGTCCAAATCCTGTCAATGCTCAAACACACACACACTCTCTCTCTCTCAAAAGTGTCGTTTTCACATTTCTAGAAGTTAAATTAAATGTTTTTAACTTTAACTAAATATGTAAAAAATATTATTAATATTTATGGTCCATAATAAATGTTATTAGATTAACTTATTAAATATATTTATGTAATATATTTATTTAGAGATACTGATGTTTACTAATATTTTCTATAAACCTAGTAAAATTTAATAAAGTTTGATATGTACAAAACTCTAGACTACTTTCTCATACTAGTGACTCTTCAAGTTTTCGTCGTCATTTTTATTTAGCTGATTTGTTACTTCATATTTTGTTTCGTGTACACAGACGTATTTGACTATGTCCACAAAATTTATCTGTTTGATTCCTGAACAAGGTGGCCCTTCCCTGTCACAGCTAAAATATCATAAACGAATAAGGAAAAAACACTATATAATTCAATAATTCCTAAATACACCATGTATAATCATAAATATTTGATGCTCTTGACGTTATTCCACCAAACTTTTAGTTTAAAACTTGAACCATCATTATATAAATTCTAAAATATCTAGTTTGGAAATGGGAGAATTTCACATTTGCAGTTTTTGGCTTGGAAAATGCTTTTATAATAGCTCTATATAAATTTATTAGATTTTATAAGCATAGTTTAATAAAAACTATGATTAACTAGATCATATCATAAATTTATATAGGATTTAACAGCGTTGTTTTTTTAATGATAGGCAATGTACTCATCGATAGCAAGGCATGTGTAATAACTTCGTCAATCTCAAGATCTATTAATTCATTGTTTCGGATGAGCTTATGGGGGGTGTGTGCATGTGTTTACAGGACAACTGCGCCCTAGATGTATGAATCTCTACGTATTGTATTTTGCCAAAAAAAAACATCATCAAATAGCGCTCATGGGTAACAATAAAACGTTGGAAGCGTAGTACTTTTACCAGATGCATCATTATTTCTTTTCTTGTAAATTACTACCTTTGTTCTCTATTCTCTTTTATAAGAGACAAGTTAAAATATTATAACATAGTCTCTCAAACTTTGATTATTTATTTATTTATTTTATATTATTATTTATGCCTATAAACTTGTGAATATTTATGCTTATAAACTTATGATAATTGGAGAGTACTAACCATATCAATTTTATGTTATAATAATAATAAAAATATTAATTAAATTATTAGTCAAAGATTTTAAAGCTTGAATTTTAATATAGGAAAAAGTCTACATAACCCATTTTACTATTCAAGGTGGACTACTTCACTCCCAAACTATAAAACCGAATTTTCTACCCCTGAATTTTCTAAAACCGGTCAAATAACCCCCAAACGGTTTTGGACGGTGGTTTTATTCTTTTCTTTTTTATTTATTTACGCTGAATCTTTGAGAAATTATAGTAAATCATAGAAAAACTATAAAATAGAAAATCCAATTTTGTTGGACTTCACATGAGTAGATCTACACAGTGAATATATAATATGGTAATCTTTAGTACAAAGTTTTTGTTGTAGCTTTAGATCTATGATTTTCTGTAATTAATTGGAATAATTCATAGCTGCAGCTTCTATGGTCCAATTGTGGTAAAAATTTTATGGTGGTCTAATTATTGTATACTTGAATTATAGTAAAAAATTCATCCTCATCGGATCATATATAACTTAGTAATAGATAAAACATAGATTTAACAAGCATAAACCTAAATAAATCAATGAGGGGCTCGCCTGTAAGGCTAGCACGGCGCCAAGCTCGGAGATCCACGGCGCCAAGAACTGTGGCGCCGTGCTAGCTGCCATGTCACCGCGACGTGTGTGTCGACGCCGACGTGGCCCTAAGACCTAGGCGCCAATTGTTCTAGCGTCTAAACGTGTAAGCTAGATTTTGAAAGCATACCTCTAGGGACGTATTTGTGAAAAACTTTCAAAAAAGTTAAAAAAATAAAAATTCGGCGCGGCCAGACGCCCAAGCAAGCCCTGCGCCAGAGGCCACTCAGAGGCGGGCGCAACCAACCAACGGGCAGCGCGTGGCCGGTCAGAGGCTGGTGCGGCTTGCCACGGTTGGACGTCGAGGGGCCATGGCCGGCGAGGGCTGCGGGCCGAGAGGGCCATGGTCGGCGCGTGGTCGATGAGGGGCGCGCCCAGGGCAAGGGTGTGGCCGGAGGTGGCGGCGCGAGCAGGAGCTCACGCAACGGCGGTTGGGGCGGGCAAGCAGGCATATGCGTAGGAGGAGGACGCCGGGAAAGAAAAAGAACAAACTGTTCTTGTGTAACGAGTGACAATGGTGGATAATTTTTCTAACTCCACCAAACTTGGATCTGGTGAGTGTTCCACCAGATTCACTAAATTAGTGGAGCAGATCCACTAATGGAGCTGATGGAGCTATGAGTGTTTGGCTAAAAATCAGATCTGAATCTAGAGCTGGTGGAGTTGTTCCAAACGTACCCTAATTTAGCCGGTTCACGTGCTCTTGATTTGTGAACAACATTTCTTGCCATACTCGTAAGCTATAAACATAAGTCAGTAGCAACGTGGTCGTTGCGCTTGGAAGGAATAGCATCGTCCCGTGCGCACACGCCAATGGGTGGCCACTACTATGTCTACCTTGGATTGGCTCTGGTGTCGCTGCTAGTCGTGCTCGTGAAGCGCCGGCGCGGCGCTGCGGACGGCCATGGCTTGCGGCTTACGCCGGGGCCGTGGCAGCTGCCGGTTATCGGCAGCATGCACCACCTCGCGGGCCAGCTACCGCACCGCGCGATGCGGGACCTGGCGCGGCGCCACGGGCCGGTGATGCTGCTCCGCATCGGCGAGGTGCCCACGCTGGTGATCTCGTCCCGGGAGGCGGCGCGCGAGGTGATGAAGACGCACGACACCTCGTTCGCGTCGCGGCCGCTGAGCGCCACGGTCCGCGTGCTCACGAACAACGCCGGGACATCGCCTGGGCGCCCTACGGGTAGCACTGGCGCCAGCTCCGCAAGATCGCCATCACGGAGCTCCTGAGCACGCGCCGGGTTCTGTCCTTCCGCGCCATCCGCGAGGAGGAGGTCGCGGCGGTGCTGCGCGATTGCGCCGCCGCCGCGGCGGAGTCGCGCCCCGTGGAGATGCGTGCGCGGCTGTCGGCGCTGGTGGCCGACTCCACGGTGCGCGCCGTGATGGGCGACCGGTGCAGGGACCGAGACATGTTCCTGCGGGAGCTCGACCGCTCCATGGGGCTCTCGGTGGGGTTCAACCCGGCGGACCTGTGGCCGTCCTCCCGCCTCGTCAGGCAGCTGAGCGGCGCGCGGAGGAGTGCCGCGACACGGTGTTCGGGATCCTCGACGGCATAATCAAGGAGCGCCTGCAGAGGATGGACAGCGGCGGCGCCGGCGAGGCCGGCGAGGACCTTCTCGACGTGCTGCTCAAGATACACAAGGATGGCAGCCTCCAAATCCCGCTCGACATGGACGTGCTTAAAGCCGTTATCTTTGTAAGTTCTCTTTGCTTATTAATCCTTTTAATGGTTTGTTACTTCAATCATAGAGTTTAGATGCCACACGGCAAAACCGCAAGGATCTGTCTCTTTCTCGCGGCGTATCAGGAAATTGCAGGGTGTGTGAGCTTGACACAGCTGTGACAGTAGATTTGCTGCAATATGCACATCATTTGTCCCTGAAATGCTCAGATGCATGTTCACATCTTAGGGCCTGTTTAGATTCCAAAATTTTTTGCGCAGTATCTATCACATCGAATTTTGCGGCACATGCATGAAGTACTAAATGTAGACGAAAAAAAAACTAATTGCACAGTTGGGTGAGAAATCGCGAGACGAAACTTTCGAACCTAATTAGTCTATAATTAGACACTAATTGCCAAATAAAAACAAACGGACTACAGTACTCAAAACCAAAAAATTTTGGCATCTAAACGCGGACTTATCTTCGTATATCTTCTAATACAGCCTGTTCGCTTGCTCGTAAACGATCGTAAATTTTCAGTCAGGAACAATATTTTTCTCTCACACTAAACTAGCCAGCAGTAAATAATCTACAGATACGATACGGCCTCCCGAACAGGCTGTATAATAACGAGACAACTAACTCTTGTACTATACATTTACTTCAATGATTCGCGTACTTGATTTTGATTTGTCAGGCGTCAAAACCAACTCCAAGAACGCTATAAAAGTTTAACAGTAGGCTTTGCGTCCCTTTCCACCACGTGTGTTCGTGGACATGTCGTACTCCATGCATTAATGACGACC